CAAACTCAGTCCCAGTCGAAACTGGACGATCGATTTTTGTCCAGCCGCACTCCGTCTCAGCCCCGTAGGCCTCTCCCCTTTTTCCAAGACCTCCACTACGAGGTTTCGAGGTCTTGGAAACTTGGAATCTTTTTCGGCGCGTATCACTAATCCCGCCGCCGCTGATTTTGCCACGGTTTCTAAAATGGCGGCTCACGTCTACGCGGCGATGCCGGCCGTAGAAGAGACTCTCGCGGCACATCTCGCGCCAAATTCAGCTCCGTCTTGGCAATCACGCCCTCTGCTACCGTCCAAGCCGTGTAGGGTTACTTCCGCTTTGATCGGAAAATCTTACATGGCCGCTGGGCAGGCCTAGAGGCGGCGCAACTATAACGACATGTGAATAATTCCGCCCACTCTAAAGCGGTACTGAACTGCAGTGGAAACGCAAACCGTGCCGAGCCGAACCGTGCCGAGCCGTACTGAGCCGTGCCGTGCCGAGTCGTACCACGCAGTGGAAAAGCGCCATTATATTTAAGTCTTGTGGCTTATAAATGTTTCAATTTTTAAAAATGTATTTATTACAATATTTTTTGGTCAAAACAAATAGTCTCCTATTTTTGTATGTTGCCATTTGCCGTTGTGTTTATTGTTTTATGTTTCAGAACTGTTTTACTTTTTAAATATTTGCTGAAAAACCTACAATAGGCTTTTTAAGAGCAGGTTCCATTGTGACAACTTCCCCCATATATTGACCCCATTAGCTTGGATATGGGATGTTGTCACAAAAGATCAGCTAATTGTTATCTTTCCTTTTAATTTTTAATTTTTTACTTTTTAAAGAATTTTTGACTTCATTATGCAAAGACATATTAAATTGGTCATAAGGGATAGTAAAGACTTTACATTTTAAGCAGCACAACTTTTTTCAACATTGATTATAATAAAAAAATGTTCCTTGAGCACCAAATTGTGAAGAATCATGTGACATTGAAGACTGGAGTAACGGCTGCTGAAAATTCAGCTTTGACATCATATGAATAAATTATATTTTAAAATAAATTAAAGTAGAAAAGAGTTATTTTAAATTGTAATAATATTCAACAAATATTACTATTTTTACTGTATTTTTAATCAAATAAATGCAGCCTTGGTGAGCATAAAATACTTCTTTTAACAATGTTAAGAAAATCTTACTGACCCAAACCTTTGAACATTAGTATGTGTTTTTATAGAATTTAACTTTTAAAAAAATAAACTCACAGTCTTGTCTATATGGTATTTAAAATGACTTTTTCACCTAAATGTTAGCCATATTTACTTGAAACAACTTTTAGAGGTCTGATAAGTGTCATTTATCTGATTATCTGAAATATTCATCTCATTTTGACATTTTAGTTACTTGCATCCTCGTCACTTAGTTTCCAGAATAATCCTGATACAATCACTCATATCATTAGTGTGTGTGGTGATCTTGCTAGCTGTGATATATAGAGAAGGAAGCACTGCTCGGATGAGTACGGCTGTTCTCGTCAAAGATGTAGCTCAAGATTTTGAAAGAGATGAGCAATGACAGACTAAAAGTGTAGGCTTATGTCCTCTTCTGATCTGGGGTTGATTTGTCTCTGTGCTGCTCACTTAGAAAAACCCGAAGCCAAAGTGACTAAGAGCTTGCAAACACAAACATAAGACGGTGACCTTGCATTAAAAACATTTGGGTTGAAAAATGCCAGAATCCTTTTTTAAATACATGCTCTTGCTCTCTTTTGATGTCAAACAGAATGCTTGTATTTTACATTTAAAAAAATCTAAATTTTAATTTCTAACAGCCTGTATTTTCAGAATGTTTCTATCATTCCCCCACATTTATAAAGCAAAAATGATCCATGGCTGGACACCAACTGATGAGATCTTTAACTGATGACTTCATGTGACTCTGGATAATTCGCTTGATATTATTACAGTTCTTATAATAGAGGATTTTTAGTCCATCAGTAGAACAGGCTTTGTGGCGGCTCTTTGATCACAACAGCTTTGAGTCCAACTGTGCTGATCAGTCATTTCGAATGATCTCACCAGGAGACCATAATAACTGAGGTAGCAGTTCAGCCCTGCCTTACCCTTTAACTGATATCTCCACCGTACGGTTGAGCTTAATTTGATGGGGAATAAATCTATCAAAAGGAAGAGAAGAGAGAGCAATCTGTACTGCCCCATCTCTGTGTCTGCTGTTGCCATGGGGGGTTTGGGAATTTCCAGTTTTCAAGTGACAGCAGCAGTTTACAAACTTCAGAAGGGAGATTGGTGCTGGCCAGTCATCAGATAATAGCGTCAAACAAGTAATCAAGGAAGTAGAGATGAAACCATAATGTTGTTGTGAATAGGGTAGAGGGCAAAGAACAGAAATATAGCTAAATATATGAGAAATGCAAAATTGTTTATTTACCATAATTATCCAAAATCATGCGTGACCGTACGGTTGATATGTCTGTAAAGGACATCATATAGCATATATATTGCCATTCATCTACATATATTATAAAGACACTTAAATATATTTTTTTGTCTTTGTGGACCCTGAAGGTTATGAAATGTATCCAAGATACTAATAAAGTTAAAGGAATGTTTATTATTGGAAAATAACTAATATAAATAATTCTCTGAATTTAAATCAAGATTTACCATGGACTGACAGCTCAACCGTACGGTAGAGTTTTATATAAAACATACATTTAAAAAAAAAGTGCCTGGGGCTATTTATTAGATGTCTACTAATAAGAATTTGAAGTTAAATAATTTTTTCATTTGCTCCTTTTAGGGGTGAAAGTTAAAGGGTTAAAGCGCTGATTTGGGTGACACACTTTGTGATGTTTATGTAGATCCCTAAGCTGCAGGGTGCATGTCTGTGGAAATATGTATTGTTATTGAGACCAGGATATTATATAACTAGAACTAAAACTAAAACCATAAAAATAAAATAAAATAAACATTAACTGAATTAAAATATGAAGTATGTTAACTTTTTCGTTTAGTTGCCAAGACAACATTGTTTATTTATTTATTTATTTTTATTTTATCTTAATGTACTAAAATAACTAAAACTAAAACTGAAATAAAATGAACCAAAAACTATATAGACATATATAAAGGAATAGTTTACCCAAAATGGACAGTCAAGATGTAGATAAGTTTGTTTTTTCATTGGAACTGATTTGGAGAAATTTAGCATTACATCATTTCTTCACCACAGGATCCTCTGCAGTGAATGGGTGCCGTCAGAATGAGAGTCCAAACAGCTGATAAAATCATCACAATAATCCACAAGTAATCCACACGATGCCAAACATTATGTGTTTGTGATGAACAAATTGATCATTTTTAAACTTAAAACTGTTGTTTCCGGCTAAAATACGAGTCCTCTGTCTATAATATTGCTTTCTCCAGTGAAAAAGTCGTCTTGTCTGAATCAAGAGAGAAATATGCTTAGGTCAAGCACCGTTTACAAGAACAAACAGTCTAAAACAGCTCCAGACAAATATGTTGTGGATGTTGATGTGAGAGGACAACAGAGGGGATGGAGTTTTTCACTGGAGGAAGCGTTATTATTAATTATGGATTCTTATTTTAGCCAGAAGCGACTGTTTCAAATCAAAACGTCTTTGATTTGTTTCTCACAAACACACAGCCTTTTGCTTCACAAGATGTTAATTGATGGACTGGAGTCATGTGGATTATTGTGATGTTTTTATCAGCTGTTTGGACTCTCATTCTGACGGCACCCATTGACTGCAGAGGATCCATTGGTGAGCAAGTGATTTAATCCTACATTTCTCCAAATCTGTTCTGATGAAGAATGGCCTGAGAATGAGTAAATTTTCAGCAAATTTAAATTTTTGGGTGAACTACAGCCAAAATTAACTATAAAAATATTTAAAAAAAAATCAATGATACGAAAACCACACAGACTGAGACTTTTTTTTTTGTCACTTCTTGGAAGGCAGTAGCATTGAGATCATACGGCTGCTTTTCTTTCTTTTGCCCCCTAAGGTCAGCGGGAGACATGCAAACTGTCACTTTCTGTATGAGGTGCAGATGGCTGAGAAGGAATGTTTGGGCATGCTGGCAGACGAGCTGCCTCCGCACACTAAAGGTACTGCATTAGTGCATGTGTAAGTGCACACGCACGTTATATCATCTTCTAAATCCACTTACAGTGTCTGTTTTGTACAGTATTTTGAATGGCCAGAATGCGAAACAGCATAGGCAAACTTTGAAAGATGTGTATTTGTGTCATGTTCCCCATAAACAATACAGTGAAAGAAATGTGAATGAGCTCTCGCCACATTGTTTGTCCTACATAATCAGTTAATGTCTTATTGTTTTTCTGTTGGCATGCAGCGTTTGCTCTGGCAGATGTAGAATCACATTTACTGTTGGCTGATAGTGGTTGAGTTGCTTTTGGCTCCAGCTTTTAAGGTCAATGTTGAATTAGATATTTATATTGTCTGGATTGGACATGACCCACATGTAGAAGCCCATTTTCCTCTTAGAATAACTTTGTCTCACAATTGTGACTTTATTTCTTGACTTTCTTATATAAAAGTATTTAAAGACCCCAAACTTTTGTATGTGTTTTTATACTTCATAAAGTGATCAATGTTTACTGTGTCTTAATGCTTGATGAGTGACATATTTTCTCTTAGTTTAGATTCCTTATTTTTCCTCAGAAACGACCAGCTGTTTCAGAAGCAGCTGTTTAAAGGAATAGTTCCCAAAAATGAAAATGCTGTCATTATTTACTTGCCCTCAAGACATTCCAAACCTGTATGACTTTTTCTTCTTCTTTGGAACACAAAAGATCAAATTGGCTCTGACCCCAAACTTTTGAACAGTAGTGTATAATATTATAAAATATTTTGTCCTGCCCACTCTTTTCCATAAACTTTTGTATGTGTTTTGATACTTCATAAAGTGATCAATGTTTACTGTGTCTTAATGCTTGATGAGTGACATATTTTCTCTTAGTTTAGATTCCTTATTTTTCCTCAGAAACGACCAGCTGTTTCAGAAGCAGCTGTTTAAAGGAATAGTTCCCAAAAATGAAAATGCTGTCATTATTTACTTGCCCTCAAGACATTCCAAACCTGTATGACTTTTTCTTCTTCTTTGGAACACAAAAGATCAAATTGGCTCTGACCCCAAACTTTTGAACAGTAGTGTATAATATTATAAAATATTTTTTACTGGCCACTCTTATATACAGACAGGGAATGGGTGACTGGCCTCTCAAGATCCAAAAAGTGCCATAAATGTATCATAAAAGCGATCAATATGAGTCGTACATTATATTCCAATTCCAAATGTGCTATATAGTATTCCACAGAAGAAGAAAAAATCATACAGATTTGGAACAACATGATGGTGAGTAAATTATGACCGAATTCTACATTTTTAGGTCAATTATTCTATTAGTACATAAAGAACTGCATGCCCTCTTTGCTGTGATGTTTCTGAGGGCGTTTGGAGTTGTAGATGATGATGTATGGTGGTGTGATGTTTTCTATTTATGTCCAGACCTTCACAACACACTCATCTAACCATAGATGCTGGAATGTGTCCTGTCCCTGTGGGCCAGGCTCATGAGATCCAGTGACTTTCCCCTTTTTGTTTTTTTTTTGGTTGAACTGTAGTACCTAGCCTATGCTAACTAAAAGGCAAATTCGAGTAATGTTTGTAGGGTTAGCTTAAAAGAGAAAACATATTCAAATACACTCAACACATAAAGCAGAAAGACTCTCAAGAACATTAGTCAATGAATGCGGATCTTATCCCAAACTAAACATTTTCCCAGGTTCCTGTCAAACACATGTCAAGTTTCTCACGTGCATTGCTGCAGTGATTTTGCTGAAAGTTCAGCTATTTCAGCACATTTTGAGATCCAGATGTGTTGAGCTTTTATATTGTTTTCTGTTTCTACATCCTTACAGGTTGCAGGGGGATGTGGGACAATATTTCTTGCTGGCACCATGCCGATATCGGAGAGGTGGTGGTCAATACCTGCCCAGCTGCCCTAAAAAATTTGTTCACCAGAGATGGTAAATTTTACTTTAATTTTTGCAAACTGTCATTTATCCATCTTAACATGATGCTGAGAACAAAAATCGTCTGATACCGCTAAATGAAAAAATGAATGGTTGTCACACACTCAGAAGCATTTGGGGAACCACTACTTGCTCTTTTTAAGATACTTCATATATCTTATCTTACAGCAGAGATGCCCAAACCAGGGCCAGTAATGACCTTTGATTTGGCCTGCCATGCCATACAACAAGAGGAGGGGAAAATGGAAAAAAAATGTTTTAATATAATGTATGTGGATGTAATGCAACATTTACTTTTGGCACACAGCCCTCAATCAAGTTAGATTTTTGGCCATTTGTATTAAAGTTTTGGGCACCTCTGTCTTAAAGGAACTTGAATATATATTTCCAAAACCTTTCACTTTTTTGGGTGTTAATGAAGAAATGGTTGACAGTCTTTCAAGAACTTATAGGTTCCATTTTGTAAGTTCCTTAGAGAGCTCTCCTTAATGAACAGATGCCTAGATGTTCTCCAAAGGGTTTCACCAGTGTATATACAAACCTAAACTTGTTCTGCCATGGAATTAAGCGGTAAAATACGATTTTATGAAGTTTATGATTAGTTCTGCTCACATGTGCACAAAGCAGGTAAGTAATAAGGCCAGCTTTTTGTAAATAAATAGTGTGAACTGTGTTGATTGTGAGCATGCATATGTGAGTGTGAGTAAATTAATGAGTAAGGGAGTAAACTGAAGGCTGCATGGAGTGAGTGAATCATGTCTTTCCCCTTCTGCTCGGACATGCTCATTGACCCGTGGACCCGAGCCGATGGCACAGAACCAGCACACCCTTTCTTCCCTACAGAGAAGTTGTCTGTCAAGCTTCCCCAATCAGGCTATTTTCAGCCCTTGTGAGCTTTCTAACCTGCTGGCTCAGAGAGGTCATGCAGGAACACATGAACACATGGTGCCGCTGGATATCCACAGAGTTAAGGAGCCAAATTATCCCAGAACATCTGGAAACACATGCTGACTTAAGGTTTTATAGCACACGATTATCATTTCCAATCAAGCTTTCTAATGTATGGCTGAACTTTTCAGATGAATCACTGTCATCATCATCAGCATCATTTATGCTCCATTAGCTGTTACCCCAGATATTATCTGCTGTTTTTTTCTCTAAAGTAGCTCTCACAAAAGCAATGCATTGCACTTTCTCAACCCAGTGTTCGGTGGAATATATTTCCAATCATTTGACAGAGGTTAATGGATTGTAAGGGCTAGAACAGATATATATATATATATATCACTCGTTCTCATTGTACGAGGTAGATTCAGGTGCCTCGGGGGTTGTGTGGGCAGTAAATGGTTCAGCCTCCCTCTCCTCTTCCTCAACTGAGCTCATGTATGTTACATCAGGGAGTTTCAGTTTCAGTTGGGGTCCAGTTTTAGAGGAAGAAAGTGTGCGTGTGTTTATACAGTGTGTATATATATATATATATATATACAGTATGTATGTATATGTGTGTATGTGTGTAATTCTAAAATGGATTCCAAAATTAATCACAGTTATTTTAGAAGTGGCTTTTAACAGTATTAATACAAAGTAGCATATTTTGTGGAAAAAGTATTAATTTACTCACAGAGATGAACACTATGAAATGAATAAGTAAATAAATACTTTGCAAAGTTGTACTTTTCTTTTCCACTTTAAACTTTATTTTAATACTGGGGGTTGTAAGGCATATTGTGCGTGTGTTTATACAGTGTGTATATATATATATATATATATATATATACAGTATGTATGTATATGTGTGTATGTGTGTAATTCTAAAATGGATTCCAAAATTAATCACAGTTATTTTAGAAGTGGCTTTTAACAGTATTAATACAAAGTAGCATATTTTGTGGAAAAAGTATTAATTTACTCACAGAGATGAACACTATGAAATGAATAAGTAAATAAATACTTTGCAAAGTTGTACTTTTCTTTTCCACTTTAAACTTTATTTTAATACTGGGGGTTGTAAGGCATATTTATTGTGAAATGTTTATTTCTATAAAAAATTTTTAATTGATATTAAGTTTATTTATATATAGAGCAGCTGTGCTCACTCTCCACTGTGTACTAATAAAGGCAGTTCGAAGCAGCAGAGCAGTCCCGCAATGTGCTTCCGCAAAGCACTTATGCTCGTGGACAAATGCATGTTTGATTACCGTTCTGACAATTTCAATTCAAGATAAGAGCACACATGATGACGCACATTAGCGGATCCCTGTGAATAGGACGAATAAGGTGGTCCAGGTTTTCAAAGATGGGTCAGTTAGCACTTTTATAAAGCCTGAATCTGTCTGTTTGTACAGACAGCCCCTTTTGTTGGGCTTGTGTGTGTGTTTGAGTGTCTATATGCACATGTGTATGTTCTGATCTGCATGGCTGGGTGTGTCTGAGTATGTGTGGGTGTGTATTTGGGGGATTTGTTTCAGGCTGGACATGGACAAAAATAAATCTCCATGTTGATACATGTCAGGGGAGTTTACATTCTCTCTCTCTCTAGCAAAGTGCTCTGCAGTGATGTAGTTGTGCTTGCCCTCATATTTGGCCCGTTGAAATGCCATTAAATATTCGTTCTGCTTTCCTCGGAGTCCTAAAATATACATAGAACATACTCATGTCACAAGAAGTGTGTTAGATTTCTGAAGTAAAAAAAAAAAAAAATTGTAATCATTGAATTCTCATTAAAGCGGAGGCCATTTTTTTCCCCTCTGGGAAAAAAATAGAAAAAGGAAAAACAAAACAAAACAGAAAAAAGCTTCCAAATTAAAAAGATGGATCCTCATAAAATATTTTGAAATTTTCCATGCTAAAATATATTATATATAAGCTTGTTTCCCACCAAAAGGAAAAAATAAATAAATAGATGCATAAATAAATAAGGTCATTTTGACTTTCTATCTCACAATTCTGACATTTTTTTCTTGCAATTCTGAGAACAAAGTCAGAATTATATATAAATTCAGAGACAATTCTGTTCTTTTGTTTCTGCCACAGAATAAAAAATGTAAAAGATAATTGCTTTTATAATAGATGGATAATAGATAAAGCTTTTATCTCACACTTCTGTTTTTTTCACAATTGCAAATTTATATTTATTATATAATTTATATCTCGCAATTGTGAGAAAAAAAAATCTGAATTGTGAGATAAAAAGTCACAATTACGTTTTAAATTTTTTTCATTCTTTGGCAGAAAAGGGCTTCCATAATTTACTCTGTACAAGTAAATGAAAATGTAATTGTTAAACAATATTTTAAATTATTTGATTTTTTTTTATATTATAAAGTGTTGGACTAATAAAATTGACCATGACTTTTTACTTTTTTTTACATTAAAAAAACTGCAAAAATATATTTTTATAGTTATAAATGTTATTATTATATTTTATAATAAATATAATTATACAACTTTTACATAATTTTAAAATAATTTTCTGGTATGGTTTGTTTACTTATACAGGTTGTTGTCTCTGCACATTCAACTGGGATAGAATAAAGTATTTTAACATGTTATATTTGAAATGCATTGTTCTGTTGTTCTTCACTCTATCCAGTACTATTTTTAAATCAAATGTTCAAAAATCTATGTTTCAGCCTACTGGTTTTCTTGTACAGAGGCCTGTTGGGTGTTGTAATGTTTGGTTGATGTGTAAATGTGTTCATGTTCTCTTTGTTAGCCTGCCAGCTGCTCTTCTCCAGGTGTAATGGTGGTCATTGATGCAATGCAACGTGTAGGAGGCTGTTGTTTCGTTACTGAGAGTATTAGCAAGCCTACACGCAGACACTTTAATGCATGGAGCACACATTTTCTGTATTTATACTTCACACTCAGCCTCTGCCTCTCAGCCTTGACTGAATGCATCAGTGATGTAAAATGCTATTCCATTATCACTGGTGCCATATGGATTTACAAGTATAATGAGTGAGTGCAACCCATGTAGCTAGAAATCACACCTAAAGAAAAAGGCACAGAAAGCAGACTCTTTTCTTCACTAATCAAAAGAGAAAATATAAGAAATTATGCTTTGCTTGAAGAAAATGAAGCCTATTTTTAGGACCATTAAGATTTTTGCATGCTGTATTCAGTGTGCATTCAAACCCCTGGTTCTCATTATGAACAGTCTCATGCTTATTTTCTTATTAACATAACTTGAAAAAAATTTAATATTGCCGTGCTGAATAAATACTTTTCAGTGTAAACAACATTTGTTTTTACTGCCTTGAATTTAATTTAAAATGCTAATAAATGCTGATTTTAATGTTCACCAAGGCTACATTTATTTGATCAAAAATACAGTAAATACAGTACTATTGTGAAATATTTAATTTTAAGTAGCTGTTTTCTATTTAAATATATTTTAAATTTCAGCAGTCATATTACACCAGTCTTCAGTGTCATATGATTCTTCAGAAATCATTGTAGAAACATTTATTATTATTATTATTATTATTGTTGAAAACAGTTGTGCTGCTTAATAATTTTGTGAAAACTGATGCATTTTTTTCAGATTCTTTGATCAATAGAAAGTAAAAAAAAACCATTCATTTAAAATAAAAATCTTTTGTGACATTGTAAATGTGTTTACTGTCAATTTTTATCAATTGAATGCATCCTTGCTGAATAAATTAATTCTTTAAAAAAAAAACTTTTGAATGGTAGTATACAGTATGTTTGCTCTAAATAGTAAAATAATAATAATAATTGTAGAAAAGTAACTGAAGGATGAAATGCATTTAATTATCGTAAAAAATAATGCCAAAAATTGCAGTGGTACTAAATGTAATCTTTGTTTTCTTTATGCAAAATGTTTTGCAAAATATATTTATTTCTTTTGATTTTGGGTGAAACATTTCTTGGCAGGCTTTGTTGAGCTTCACTCTATTCTTGATAAATTTTTTGATTAGCTTATTTTTGTGTTTAGTTTTCTCTGATATCTCTGGGCTTTCGCAACGTGCACCGTTGCGAATCGTTACCTACCAAAACACTCACTAATGCTGGTTGTCAGTCTAAATTGCCATTAATCAGTCTGATAAATTGGCTGTTAACAAAGCAATGTCTGTTTGTTCTAGGCATCATTAGCAGGAACTGCACTACGGAAGGCTGGTCCCACGTTTATCCCGGCATCCACAGCGTTTGCTTTGAGCCCACCCCGAATGGAAGCAAGGTGAGTGACTGAATTTATGCAGTCAGATCTTTCTCAGAATTACTTCACAGATACGTCTTGAAAATAGGGCTTTTGATTGTACACAGTGTTTAGGATCATTGTGCTAACCATCCTGAAGGAGCTACGCATGAATGGCAGTGGTAAAGGAAGATATTTTGTCTGAAAGGCACTGTTGTTCCCTCCACATGTGCTACAACCACAGAAAAATCACAGTGTGTGGATGCTGAGGGCACTTCAGGACCCTGAACCTTTTAGTGCCCACTATCCAGCCTGAATTTATGCCAGCTGGGACTACCTTTGGGGCAGAGACCGTGTTTGTGTGCATTTGGAAATGCGAGTGCGTGCAGGCATGCGTTCAGGTGTGTTCATGCGTGTGTCTGACAGAGACAAACAGTCATAGAAAGCACTAGAGTTTTAAAAGAAAGCGAGCAGCTGGCTCAAGAGTGCGAGAGAGCCAAAAAAAGAAAGAGCAAAATGATAAAAGAATCAGAACAGAGAGGTGCTTTTATAGCAGAATATAAAAAGAAAAAAGAAAGAAAGAAACTATAAATGTCCAGTAACATGTGACGTTTTGTCTTAATACAAAACTAGTTTCTCTCGGTTCGTGTCATGAAACATGTCAGTTGCCCGTGAAATTTACCATTTCATCCTACGATTGTGCTTTAGAGATTTGAATAATCATGAGCTACTGGAATGGAGGGAATCTCTGAAGGAAGTGATCCATGGCAACACCAGTGTGGTTGTGGCTAGAAGGGATACAGCTACGGCTAAAAATAGCAATAAATTAAATTTGCTACCTATTAGATTGTGTTTTATTAACATCTACACCTACACCTACCCCAACCCTAAACTTAACTTTACAATAACGCAAATACAGTAATTAGTTGTTATTCAGTGTGACAAAAATGACGCAATATTGATGTGCACATGCCCAGCAGGATAATCTGGCCATAGCTGCATCCCTTCTAGCCCTAACCGTGTCAAGACAGACCCCATCATTTGGAGTTCATTGGGGATTCTGGGAAGCTCTGCAAGTGTTCTATATTGGGTGGTTAGATGGCAATGTCTTTAGAGTTGTACCTTGTAGTAATTCTCATATTACATGGTCTATAACACTCACCAAACACCAAATATTAGCACAAATTGGATTGCCAGTTGGCCGGTAACTTAAGAAACTATGACATAAAACATTAATTAACAGTAATTAAATCTAATTGTCAGAATTATAGACTAACCCCTGCTGATGTACAGTAAGTGTAGTTAGTTATTCAAATCAAACCATGTACTAAAGAAAACATCTGTCATGATGTGCGTATATTCTAACAATTTCTAAAAACTATTTTTCTTCAGAACTCAATGTAATGACGTCAAATCACAATGTTTCTCAGATTAAACCTCCAAATTGAAAAATATTAGAAAAACAACACAGATAATGTAATTTTGCGAAAAAATATACACTACTGATCAAAAGTTTGCATTAGAAAGGTTTTTTATGGTTTTGAAGCAAGTCTTATATGCTCACCAAGGCATTTATTTGACCAAAATTGCAGTATAAACTAAAATTGTGAAACATTTATTACAATTTAAAATGCCTGTTTTCTATTTTAATATACAGTATGTTAAAATTTTATTTATTCCTGTGATGACAAATCTGAATTTTCAGCAGTCATTACTCCAATCACTTGATCCTTCAGAAATCATTCTAATATGCTGATTTGCTGGTCAAGAAACATTTCTTCTTATTATTATATTATTGTATAATAATCATTTTTTTCAGGATCTGATGATTGGAACGTTCAAAAGGACAACATTTATTATATAAATCTTTTGTAGCATTAAAAATGGCACTCTTGATCAGTTTTGAGGGGGTTGTCTTTATTAATAGGAAAATTAGTAATTGATTTTACTATTAATGAGCTGAAATGTAACTGAGCTTACTGTGATTTATTTTACATGTATTCTTAAGCTGTAGCGAGTGAAACACCCGGCAATGTTATGAGGGCATCAGGGGGACATCCCATAAACCCAATTCTCCTTACCTTAAAAGGAATGAAAAATGTTTCATATTTCAAATTTTTCCCATCTAATTTTTGTAAGTCATGAGATTTTTTAGCTTGTTTTAGCTTGTACCCATGGCTGGTTTTGACATAAGATTTGTTGCCTAATTAAGTCTTCATGGCATTATTTATAAAATAAATGCTGAATAGATCAGTACTATTTTATAGGGGTAGGGAGTCCTGAGAATGCAGGGAATGAGAGGAACGTTTGCAACATTGTATGTTGGAGGCTGTATGGAGAAACTGTCATTTTGACAAAAAGGAAACGTCTCCAACATAATCAGATGAAGCCTCCCCGGCATACTAACTTAAACAGCTGTCTGAGGGAAAGAGCAGGATTTAGCACATGAACTAAGTAAGGATTTAAATGCAAATGTTAAGTATCTTATACCCCATTTAAGTTATTATGATAAATAAATGTCCTATTAAGCATTTAAAATGTCCCAGATTAACACGAGTCAGTTGGCAGGAGTTAAAGTTCAGGCAAGGCATTTTGAATGTAAAATTGTACAATTTAATAAATTCTGATGCAGAAATGTCTAGTCTTGGTTATACACCAAAATGACATTAAACTGCACTGGGGGGAATAGTGTATTTCAGACCAAAAAAAAAACTTGAAGATGACAGGACTCAAATCTGCTTTAACTCTAGAAAGTTGAAACTAAATAAACTTTTATTAGAGGGATTTTCTATAAAAATATCAGCATGTGTGTTTTATATTCCTTTCTTCTGTCATGAGTGTGTGGTTTTGGGTGTTCATGGACACGCGTCTTCTCCAGCAGCGAGGACAAACACCTCTTATGGCTGGATAAACAGCTCTCTGAAGCGCAGTGAGTTGTCAGTATGACTTGAGGTGATACCAAGGATCAGAGCAGACATGCTGACACATCGGCCTGCTCTGATTGGCTATATGTTGAAAGGAGATGCGTGCCGTGACTGAAGCAGCCTTGAAATGGTGCAAATCAGATATAGACACAAAAACAGGATGATCCAGCATATAAATTGGATTTGAACTGGATTTCATTAAAACCTGTTTGACATCTCTGTAAGCAGAGCAACAGATTTGCTTCACATATACTGTAGCTTGTCCATTTTTTTTTTTTTTTTTTTGTGGAAACCTGTTTCCGTGTCAGAGTAACAAAAATAACATATATAAAGGTAATTGAATTTTTTTTTTATTTCTTGGAATTGTGACTATATCTCTGTATGTGACTTTATATCTTCCATTTGCAACTTATTTTCTCATAATTGACTTTATCTCACAATTTTCATCATTTCAACATGTTTCACATTGTGACTTCACTTTATATCTCACAATGACTATTTTCTGTTTTAAACTTTATCTCACCGCCATCACCCTTTCCCCCTTATTTATTTATTTATTTACTTATTTATACTGCTCAAAAGTTTGGAGACAGAAAGATTTTTTGTAATGTTTTTGTAATAAGTCTGCTATGCTCACCAAGAATGCCTTTATTTGATATTAAAAAAATACAGTATAAACAGTAATATTGTAAAATATTATTACAACTATTTTCTATTTTAATATATTTTAAAATGTAGTTGATTCCTGTGACGAAAGCTGAATTTTCACTTCAGTCTTCAGTGTCACATGATCTTTCAGAAATCATTCTAATATGCTGATTTGGTACTCAAGAAACATTTCTTATTATTAATAATGTTGAAAACAGTTGTGGTGCTTAATATTTTTGTGGAAATAGTGATACATACTGTAAGTATCGATTTTGTTGTTGTTGTTGCTTCTATAATTTTATACAATAATATAATGCTTAAAATAAATAAATACATTTAAAAATGTATATATGTGACCCTGGAGCACAACACCAGTCTTAAGTCGCTGGGGTAAAAAAAAATTTGCATAGAAAACATTACTATTTTATTCTAAAATAAAAATGAAACAGTGTTAATGGTACAGTGGCAAAACCAGCCTATGTAAATGAGCTCAGTTATCATTGGCTAAACTCTTCGCTTGTGACAAACACATTGTGGTTTATCAGAGTGGGCCATACAAGGAAAATCTTGTTTTATGTTTTACTTGCATATTGTTCTTTAATGTTTAGATGGTACGTCTCCCTTGAAATGTTTTCCATCAAAATGATCGTCGATGGACTTTTGACATCACCCAGAGTTCAGCACGTGCTCCTCAGTAAGACGGTTGGCAGCAGTGCGGTTTGGGATGGTGTCCAGATGACTCTGCTCTGCTCGTATGAGCGATGAGCGAACAGTTCGCTGTTTTTCATTCTGATCCTATGTCGGGGGAAATGAAACATTAAAGCAATTTCCTGAAGGGTAGAGACAGTAGCAGAGGGCACATTCCCATCCTCTCAGAGTTCATTTGTGGAAATTAGCAGAGATGACTAAAGTTGTCCTCCTAAGGCGTTAGTAAGAACACTGATCGACCTCGAGTCAAACCTGTCTGAAACCTGATTTCTTGAGCCCTGTCCTGCTTCGCTTCAAAGAAGTCCTGCCCCAGGACACTTTAGAGAAATTAAAACAAGCCCATGAATTAAATTGGACATTGATCTTCTAACCTTGGGGTATTGATTCTGTTTAAAAGGACACTTGATATTCGTTTTAGTGTTCACAGCAAGTGATCTCACCTGATGAATGTACAGATATATTAAACCAAGTTGTCTTTCACACTTAATTTAATACATTAGAGTGAAGGTTATATTTAACTTAAATCTACTCTTCAGTAGATTACTCTTCAGAAAGAAACAGAGGCTTTTAATAGGTTCTGGCTTTGATTTGTCAAAACACATCATTTCTGCAGCACCAAATGGAATCTCAAAATGAATGACTGTTTTCAAACAGGTTTTTCAGACATGATCTGCTGTTGGTCTGAAACTCATGCCATTGGTTGAGCCAGCATTGCAACAACTGATTAGATACTTACACTTTTCAAGATAATCAACCTCTTATTTTAACATTAAAGATGAAACACATCACCTTAAATTTTAAACAGACTACTTAGACATCATCTAAATAATGCTCACCTTTTCCGGGGCCTTGCGTCGCATGTTGATGCCCAAGTGCCATATTAGTGTCACTTTTAATCTGAAATTCTCCAGAAGTTTTCCATGGGTATTCCCTGAAACACATACCACATCCAACAATAAATAAGAGACTGTCTGAAGAAGGAAACAGTCCCTCATCTCATCCAAAGCCAGCACAGAGGCTGCTTTCTGTCTCCTCATCTGATAACCTGCACATCACCTAGTTGTTTATGGATGATGTATTACAGGCTTAGTATGAAATACACGTGTCAAAGATAGCACTGAGTAGAGGGACTAGACAAAAAAAAATGTCAATCACCAGTTTTACTTCTGTATTAATATGTTTTTTTCCCAACTTCGGGTATGTTTTTGATTGTTTGTCAGATTTAAACTAGTTTCTTTTTGTCACATGAATGTTCAATCTTTTTGTTTGTTTTTGTTTTTATACATTAACCATGCCTTCCTTTTTTTCTACTTTTCAAATTCCTTTTATTTGTAGATTTTAGGCTTTAATCCTTGTTCCCAAAAATGTCAATAAATTTAAGTATTAACCATTTCGATATTTATTGGGGAAGTCCTTTATATAAATTATGACTTTCCCCAATTGTGACCATAAACGAATGTTTTGCCCTTTATGAAGTTTTTTTTTCAAAAATCAGTTTACTTGTTTACCAAAAAGACAACAGTGTCAGTGCAGAGCATGAAATGAACTATGAGACATGATATCTGACGAAAATCAAGAAAAAGAAAGTATTTTTTCTTCTTCTTCTTCTTCTTTTTTTTTTGTCAATATTTTTTTCAATAGTCTTTTTAAAAAGTGTGAATTTCATGTGTATTTGTTTTACATAAAATGCTAACTAATGAAATTAGCCCTAGTAAGACAACAGAGTAAGCCATTTTATTACAGTAATGTAATTTCTATTACAGAATGATATCAAAAATCTTTTGTAACCTTATAAATGTCTTAACAGTCTCTTTTGGTCAGTTTAATGTGTCTTTGCTGAACAAAAATAATTAACTTTTTTTTTTAAATAACTAACATTTTTGTGTTTTTAAAAAAATTAATATTAGTAGTATATTTTAGTAATATTTTGACCTCAAGCTTGTGATCAGTAGAGTATACTGTGACTGACATACAGTACCTAATACCTTACACTATAAAATAAAGTTATTAATTTTTAGGCATTTATATAGTCATTTGGTATGACTATATAATTATATAGTCAATGTCATTTAGTGTCATACAATCACGTATCATGTATCATGTCATAATGAAACAAAATCGAAAATCAAAGACACATTGACATGCACACACCAGGACAAAAACACTCTAAACGAACAGATAAACCAAAAGTTGTAAAATATCCATCTCGCGCTAAATTTTGTTAGCTTTATGTTTAAAGAAGCGCAGGAGGAATGTTCCTGGTGGTGATGTTGTTGAGTGGGTCTGTGGCTCCGGTGTGCCAGGTTGTAAGTCAGACTGAAAGAATGCTGTTTATGGGGGATTGAGTCATGCTCTTCCACCATGAAACAGCCGCCTGGCCAACAAGCCATTTCCATGCTTATTAGTTACCCTGTCATCCTTGATCTGTGAGACGATTCACATTTAGCTTGTCTACATTATTTCATCACATTTAAAACATGGCACAGAGGATAGATGCATTGCTTGTACTGCTGAGTGGTGTAAATGTAAATGGATTTTTTTAAAGACGTTTTGTATGTGCTGTACTCGTTAGTTTAATATAAGAACAGTGCTACTGACATTTTTTTCAAAGTAGTGATTATGCACAAAAATCTTATTGCATTGATGTATTGTTTTAATTGGAAAATATATATCTTTAAAACCACTGATTTGTAAAGGTGATAAAGAGAAAAGGATTTCAAACAAGTAGAACAGTTGTGGGCTAAATCGGTGATTAAAAAACCCCCAGCATATTATGTATTTCTTTGACTGAAGGAAAGCTGTAAGGGATATAAGCATTATGTAGACTATGCATGGTTTTGTGGTTGGGTGTGTGTCTTTTTTGTTGAATGTCTATTTTGGAAAAAGTGCTGTAGTTGTACCAGCAGTGTCTGTGGCACTTTGAGGTTATTCAAAGAATACCATGGCGGTTGTCTTTGCTATAGCCATTGTAGTTGTTCAAAAAAAGCATGGTAGTATTACTCTGGTACCTGATAAAACATGACCAAAGGGGGATTTTTTTAACTACTTACTTTTTTACTACTTATTTTGTATACAGTATATGTAAATTGGGATAGTCTGGGATATAGATTTAGTTTAACTTGAAATGATTTCATATACCCTATTTAATTTTATAATTTTTATGTAAATGAAATGAGACCTAAGTATATAGCATACTTTTGTTTTTAAATAAACCAAATAAAATTGCAGCTGAAATGTCAGTTTTAACCATGCATTTCTGTTGTATGGAAATGTCAGCTTTGACATTTTGTTCCACTAGAAAAAAAATGTATGATTTTTATGCATCATATGTGTGGGCTGGTGATAACAGAATTTAAATGTTCTGAGGAATGTGCAACACGATTGGACTAGTCAAATTTAGACATGTTATTGAGTGATTTTTGCCATAGTGTATTAGACAAAGAGTTTTACCAAATACCAGTTTTGCTAAATCATACAACTTATTTTTTTTATTTACTTATTTACTCATTGAAAATTGCATTTAAAATCCAAAGATAAAGAAAAGAAAAGAAACATTAGTTGTGCATTATTTATTTATTTTTTGTTAGTGGAGCAATAGAGAAATGCTTAATGGTGTAGATCTCTTGGAGGGAATAGCTGAATTTTATGTGGGGTGTCTTAACCCACTAAAAATAAAATATTGTTCCTCAAAATGTATTTCTCTCTCTGTCCAGCTTGTTTTCTACACGGTGATGAAGACCCTTTACACGCTTGGACACAGCCTCTCTCTCATCGCGCTCATCACCGGCAGCACAATCCTTTGTCTGTTCAGGTCTGATACGGAGCCTTAAATAGTTCCAGTAGTGTGTCTGTTTTATATTACGCTACACTTTGTATGGATGGATGAGCTTGCCTTATATTGTAATCGTTGAGGAGTTGAATTTGGCACGCTTCTGAACGACTATATTTTAAACTTTTTGACATTGACGATAAACATTATGCTTGGCGCTTGGTTTTAACCCGATAGTGCTTATCTATCTGGAATGAAATGAATAATTTAGGAAGTTTTCTGGAGATGTGATGAATGGAACAGTGCTCGAGACACTCTGCATTTTTCTCACAAACTAACCATAAGCACAATTAAAATAGAAAGAGGCCATGTTTATTTACAGCTCTGTCTCGCTCCAACAGAAAACTCCACTGCACCAGGAACTACATCCATCTGAACCTGTTCTTCTCGTTCATACTGAGGGCCATTGCTGTGCTGGTCAAAGATGCCATTCTGTTTTCCCACGAGAATGTAGATTGTACAAAGCAGCCATCACTGGTTAGTGAATCCATCCATTCTGAAGATCCACAAGTAAATTAATATAATTGAATGTTGAAATGTACATTATTTATTTTTATAAGAAATTAATACTTTTATTGAGAAAGGGATGGATTAAATGAATCAAAAGGGACAGTAAAGACATTTATAATGTTGCAAAAGATTTCTATATCAAATAAATGCTGTTCTTCTGAACTTTCTATTTGTCAAAGAAACCAAAATAACATATCAAGGTTTACACAAAAATATTAAGCAATTGTTTATAAACTCGCAGTTCTGAGAAGTCAGAACTGTAAGAAATGAACTCGCAATTACCTTTTTTATTTTTTATTCTGTGACAAAAACAGAATTACATTTTTAATTATGAGATGTAAACTCGATTTGCAAGACAAAAAGACCGAATTCTGAGTTTATATCTTGCAAATCTGAAGAAAAAAAAGAAGAAAAAAGAATTGTGAGAAACAAAGTTTGATTGTGAGTTAAATAGTCATTTTTAATTATCATTTAAAATTTTTAAAGAAATGTATCTTGAGCTTGAAATTAGCATGATAGTCATTTCTGAGTAATAGCTGATGAAAATTCAGCTTTGCCATAAATGACACTTTAAAATATATAAAATATAAAAGTTATTTTTTTAAATGCTATAATATTTCACTGTATTTCTGATCCAATACATGTCTGAGTGAACATAAGAGGCATCTTTCACAAACATTAAAAATTATTACTACTCCAAACTTTTAAACACGTTATTGTATAATTTCTGCACAATTAGTGACTCAAAAACAAATAAAAATAGTCATTGTTTCGCAACACTATGTCATTTAGTCTTCCATTGTTTGGTCAAACAGGTAATCCCATTCCCATTCCTCACAGCATTGGTTAAACCAGAAGTTGTCCTACCAGATGCTTCAAACAAACATAGCAATACAAGAGCTAATACTTTTCAGGAAGTCCACCTTCAAATGGTTTACTTTCAGCTGTCTGCACATTAAACTGGGATATGAGACAGTATTCTAACATTGAAAAAATTACACACTTCACCTTTAAGGGTCTGAACTGAGCTAAGCCAGTTTCTTAAAACATGCATAGTCAACTAAACACATTATACGCTTCATCAGTTTTAAAAGGTGGTTATTTCTGTCACTACAGACCCTAAACCCCCAAATTTGTACTCATGTTTGTTTGTCACAGTCTTTGGCGTTTCAGAGATAAGTAGTGCACATTGAAGTTCTCTATGCTTGTGTTTAGATTGGTTGCAAGGCCAGCCTGATCATCTTCAACTACTTCATCATGGCAAACTTCTACTGGTTGCTGGTGGAAGGGCTGTACCTCCATACTCTACTGATGGTCATCTTCTCTGAGAACAGACACTTCATTATCTATCTCCTCATTGGCTGGGGTAAGTCTTCATTAGAAACACTGACCTTTTTAAGCTGTTTCCATTTTCCAAAACCAACGTTTCAGTCTTTTAAAGCTATTCATGTCAGTGTTTTCACATATAAGCAGGTATTTGAGTAAATAAAGGATTATTTGAGTCTAAAGCCTAGAGATTTTCTACTTCCCACTGCATTTGATGCTTTAGCTTTCATCTTATCTGACACGAACACATGCGTGCATAGAAAATCATTCGAGAACACACACCTCTTCACGGTGTAGCACTGAATGTCTTTTCCTTAATTCATTCAAACACTTCTGAATAGATGTCGCTCACTACTCAGAGGAAAAACAGCGTCGGGAACAAGATGACGTGCCATCGGTCTTGTTCAGTCTGTTTGTCTTACATTATGTATTAGTATGTCTTTGTAGTTTGTTGTGTCCCTGGAGTTTCCAGGCGAGAGAAAGGAGAGCAGGATCTTCATTCATTTCTAGAGGAGAGGCTTGGGTGTGGCTTGCTAGACTCATCATATCAACACCTCATTAAGCTTCTCTTTCATCATGACAGTGACGACTAACATGGCCTCTTTAATCATGTTCTGTTTGCCAGCATTTCCTCTCCGGCTTTACCTCTGTTTAGAGATAGTGACCCACATCCCAACAGGAAACTATAGTAGACAATAAAAGTAACAATTTCTCAGCAGGTGTCTGAGCAAAGATGCTGTGTCCTAACATCACATTATCTGTCTGTCTGTCTGTCTGTCTATCTTTATATAGCTGTCCATCTGTCTGTCTATATGTTTGTCTGTCTATCCATCTAACTTTGTCTATCTATCTATCTATCTATCTATCTATCTATCTGTCTCTGTCCCTCTGTCTATCTATCTATCTATCTATCTATCTATCTGTCTCTGTCCCTCTGTCTATCTATCTATCTATCTATCTCTGTCCCTCTGTCTGTCTATCTATCTGTCTATCTATCTATCTCTGTCCCTCTGTCTGTCTATCTATCTATCTATCTATCTATCTAGCTGTCTGTCTGTCTGTCTATCAGCTATCTATCTGTCTGTCTGTCTCTCTGACTGTCAGTCTGACTGTTTGTCTGTTGCCTACATTTACATTGATTGTACATAAATGAATGTGACCACTAAGTCTCTTGATATTTGATCATTCCTGTCCTTCCTCCAGGATTCCCCACCGTGTTTGTGATTCCATGGATTGTGTGTAGGATTTACCTTGAGGACACAGGGTGAGCAGTTGAGCACAGCATAATCAGAAAGTGACAGAACTCACATGAGACACTTAATAGTGGATATTTAAACCTGAGAGATAGAAATGAGGCAAAAGAAGATTAAATGCATTCCCATTTGCTACCGCTGCTATGAAAGCACTTGTAACTCTTTGATGTCTCCTCCTCATAACAGATGCTGGGAGAGAAATGATGCTCCGATTCCCTGGCGGATGATTAACTGGCCAATCATGGCATCTGTTATTGTGAGTATAACCTCACACCAGCACTTCTAAACACTGAGACCAGCCCCATACTGTATGCATTATGTCAGGCAGGGAGGGATTCTGCCAGCAAAGCAGACGCGGGGATGTGCTGAGTCTCACGAACAGTTTCCATGTCCTGGATGGGACGTGAGCGCAAGCATGTCAGGAAGCGCGAGCAAACACTCTGTCACAAGTGCCTCTCTCAGCACACATGCCAGGACTCTCTCTTGTGTCCGCTGTGCCATTTCCATTTTGTAAACCCTCACTTGTAAGAGATCAAATGTCTTTGGACAGCATGATGGCTGTGTTTGACAGCTTTGCCCGAATGCATCCAGGTCAAAATGTTTCTGTTCTTCAGCCCTCCAGAGCCTAGGAATGCAATCGTAATAATAAAACATCATACAATTTCTGGCAAACGTGCTCAGTTCTGGTGTGTTTAGGTAACTCTCTCACAGAACTCTGCACACCATGCTACTGTGTAACTACATCTCTCTGCTACCCAGAATGCCACTGGTAGATGAACCTTTGGCCAAGATGTTCTGTTGATGTTTTGGTTTAAGTTTTTATGGTGGGATTAATTATGAGGAACAGAAACAGGTGGCTTCTTTTGTTTCTACTATCTGTCTGATGGATTCAAATTAAATGGAAATGAAAGATGATCAATTTACATTTGAAGTTATGCATTTGGCAGACCAAATCTAACTTTTGGAGCATTCAGGGCATAGATTTTATTAACTTGAATGACATTAATGTTTCTAGTGTCATTTTAAAGGCCAGATCAACTCCTTAAAGGGATAATTTAGCCAAAAATGAAAATGTTGTCATCATTTTCTCACCCCCATGTTATTCCAAACCAGTAGGACTTTCTTCTGTGGAACATAGTGAAGATATTTTTGTCCATCCAGTGAAACTCAATGGTGTCAACACTGGACCTATTATATTGAGTTTCATTTTATGGACAAAAAAAATCAAATAATATTGGTTTAGAATGACTTAAAAGGGTGAATAAATAAATAGTGACAATTTTCATTTTTTTGTTGAATTGTTCCTTTAAGACATTGTGTTACAGTGTGTGCAATAGTCCTGTAATCTGGTTCAAGTCTTACAGTCTGGATAATGTCATTGTATAAAAGAGGAATGATATAAAATCTTTTTCTTTTCCTTTCTGTGTTCTACAGTTAAACTTTATTCTGTTCATCAGCATCATTCGAATCCTGGTTCAGAAACTGAGGTGTCCTGATGTCGGAGGAAACGATCAGTCCCAGTACAGGTATCGCAAATGGATGCCAACTAATATTCTATTCTGCAAACAGGGCATCGGCCACCATGGTTGAACCCTCTTACATGCTATTCAGGTCATAGCTGAGATCTCCTTTTTAAATCTACCAGGAGTTGCATTCTAGCATGAATTTCAGAAAAATGGTTGGAAATGGATGGCTGCTTTCCATTTTTATCCAGGTCTTCCACTATCTATTGTGCACTGCTAAATGTGTATGCATTGAAATGGGGGTGAAATATTTATGCCGTGAGTTTTTGTTCTGCTGAGAGTGGCTCGTTGGAAATCCTGTTACTCCTTTTTCTGTTTTTAGGAGGTTGGCCAAATCCACACTTCTCTTGATCCCTCTCTTTGGCATCAACTATGTTGTTTTCGTTTACATCATAGATGAAGATGGAGAGATGGAAAACTATAAAATATTCTTTGACCTTGGTCTGGGATCTTTTCAGGTGAGGAATATGCCTAAATGTGTCACTAGTGATTATATATATCTACTTAAGCATTCACTACCGTTCCATAGTTTGGAGATTTTTTTTGATGCATTAAATTCATCAGAAGTGACATTAAATACATACATTGTTACAAAAAAATATATTCCAAATAAATACTGTTCTTTTGAATTTTCTACTTATCAAAGAATCTTGCAAAAAAAAAAAAAGTATCACGCTTTCTACAAAAATATTACACTGAAGACTGGAGTAATGGCTGAAAATTCAACTTTGCCAACACAGGAATAAATTACATTTTAAAATATATTAAAATAGAAACAGTTGAGAGAAACAGTACATTTAAATTATAATACTATTATGTAATTTTAATTTATTTTAAATTATAATAATATTTCACAATATTACTGTTTTTTTTCCCCGAATAACATGAAAAAATCTTACCAACCCCAAACTTTGGAACGATATATGATGCTTTATCAGTGTTGTACCACATTAACTCTTTGTGTTCCATTCACAGGGCTTGGTGGTTGCGATTTTGTACTGTTTTTTGAATAGTGAGGTTAGTCTGCAATTTTACTGACCTTTGATGCATCTCACTTTAGCTCTATTCCAAAACCTGAGCTGCTTACTGCCTACATAGGCAGCTGATATTCAACTGTTATTGAATCTCATAAGTGAGCAATTTGAAAAACTTTACGTAAGCAGCAACACAAATAGTACTAAAAAATTACAAAAATACAACCACACATTGGGTTATATAATAATTTTCATTACACTGAACTTTTGACAGTGCTTTTGAGTATCAGATGACATTTTTATTTATAATCAACTTTTTGTTTTCAATTAAATTCATCATTGAATTGTTTTTTAACTGAGCTTGTCTCAATGCATTCTGGCATTGGCATCTTTATTAATGGTACATACAGTGCTTCCTTTGAATTTGGTCAAAACAAGGTATTTTAAAAGGCAGTATGATAAAGTTACAACACTCTTCATTTCTGTGCATATGATGCCTTAAAATGCTACCTCAGTTCAAATCAAGTTCAGTTCAAATGCTAGTTCAAATCAACATGAAACATTCACAACCCATTTTACTTCTTTATGAGACGTGTTTCTGAGTGAAAAAGGAGATAAACATGTAGGATGAATTGTTTGGGTCTTGCAAAAGTTGCCTCTGTATGAAAGGTGGTTGAAGGGAAAGGCATGAAAACAATTTTTTTCCTGAGGCAGAGCAAGTTTAATTAAATTCTGATGAAAGATTACAAACATTTGTTATGTTTGCAATAATAATGCCCTGAATCAATTACAATAAAACTAAAAACATATTTTGAGCATAAATTGGTTCAATCTTGATTTCATGTTGACTTGCCACCCTGTGTGTGGCTGTGCTAATGCTAAAGACCATGCTAACAGATGCTATATTTGGCTGCTTTGCAGGTCCAGAGCGAACTCAAGAGGAAGTGGCGGAGTTTGCGTTTAAAGCGTTACATTGGTCGTGACTACCGTCTGCACAATTCGTCCATATCCAGGAACGGCACGGAAAACATGGCCCATCGGAACTCCAGAGCCCAGTCTTTCCTACAGACCGAGACCACTGTGGTGTGAGACATCCAGAAGCGGCGCTATATGAATCATGCTTTTACTTCACTGCCCCTCAGCTAACAACTTCAAAAGCTTTAAGCTGAAGAGGACAACGCTTTCTGAAGCATGAGATTGACATGCAGGAGACACAATGAGGATTCAGTATCTCTGAGGCACAACACTGTTTTGTCAGTATACAATGCAAAATCTCATTTCATAGCAAATTTAGCAATAAACCACCAAAATAGCACATTAAATCAAACCTCTGTGGGATAGTATTGGTGGCATTAAAAACTACAATTCCATTTTTGCAGATGCTGATTATATATACATTGCTCTTTTTAAAGTCTTTCATTGCATTAGGTTCAGATTATATAATAGTGTTATGTAAATGCTACTTAAGGCCCACAGCAATTTTCTTAGACGTTCATGGAGACGCAGCACCATGCTATCAACACATGAAAACTCAGCCACCTCACCAAGAACATGTCTTGAATGAATGCAAGAAGTGGGTCACCTCTATGCCAAACTCAAATGTGAGGTTTTATAAAGAGGACATTATAGCTGGAGGCGTCCACATTAGCCAGGGACTCATTTCAGGAGAGTATGTCTTACTTCAGATACATGTTGAAACTGAAAAGTCAGTTGTGCATTCAAACGAAAAATGGTGATTGTAAGAAAAAGCAAACATTCTTGCACTGATATTGAACTGTTCTTGCATCTACAGCATTTCATAATGTCATTTTGTCATTATACTACCCCTTGGATTTTTTCCCCCTCTTATATACCTTGAAGAAAAGCCACAATATGAGAAAACGTGAACTGAGATACAAGATTATATAAGATATGTATATTCTAGCACGTGAATGTAATTCATTATTGTCTGAGGAGATTCAGTAGTCTTATGAATGAAATGACAAATATGTGGCATAAATATTTAGTTCGCCCACAAAAAGATGTCCAGTGATAAACCAAACCACGACTAGCTGATATTACTCCACAAACTCTTTTATTTCCACTGATCCACTGATCAGTCATTTTAATAGGTGTTGATGGTGTTTCTGATTATTTTTGCTTTTGTGTTGCTCTGCCTCACATTGTCAGGGGGGTTGGGGAATTGTACACTGCAATGAATCCTGTGGTCTGTGCTCTTTCCATTCAACTGAAAAACAGATAATTAATCCAGTAGACAGTTGGATGCAGATTTAGGTCAAGTGAACTGACAAAACAGTGAGTGTGAGGGCATATGAAAGTGACATTTCAGTGTGAGCTGTGCTCTGCGTTATTGTCGCGAACAGATTCTGGGAACTGCAGTCCAGAGACTTCACAATGGATTGGAGAGGAGATCAGATCTCTTACAGCCAGGCCTGAAGAGCGAGAGGTCCCCGGGACACCACGTGCGAGGTTGCATTCATTTAAAGTGACAGATGCCACGGACTGGGGCATTCAGCATCATTATCAGATGGTCAAAGGGAGAAGAAAAGATGGAGCTTTAATTGGAGCTGGCAGAAAGGAATTGTGGGTTGTCTGAATTAAATATTGGAGGGTTTCCGAGTTTATTGTGTATGCCTTCATTTTGAAAGACGTCATGGTCTGTGAAGAATCTGGTGTGTTTGACAGATGCATTTATGATGTAAAAAATATGTACAAACAGAGGCCATAATGTTGTACACTTCTCTTTTATCTGCAATGCTTAATTGGAAAATTGGTAAGTTTTTGCGGTTCTTACATTTTTGCTGAATGTTTCTTGTAAACTGTATTGAGATTTTTCATTAAATGTGAAAGTTGTTTTTGAACTGTTTTTAGTAAGTTTGTGCATCTACAAAAAATGTGTAGAAACAATTTTCACTCAGAAATGGCTAAATTTCACAATTATTACAAAGAAACACAGCAAGTAACAGTGAATCAAATGCAAAACTTGAAGTAGAAAGACTAAAATGGTATTTTTTTGTAAAACATTCTCCAATAATCTTTATTTACAACTGTAGTGATTCTTTTTTGGCACCACTAATGTAGCCGATTTAATTTGAATTTAATTTTCAGCACATATTCAGTTAATGCGCTAATTGAAATGATTTAATACACCAAAATAATTTGCTAGTGCAATTTAGATAACATTGGTAGGGTTTGTTTTTATGGATCTTGGGAACAATAAATGAAATGTTAAAAACGGACCAGTGAAATACGATTACACTTCTCCCTTGCTGATCAACAGATGAGCTTCACCATCAACACAGACGATATCACACGCAGATGATGTTGTTTTGACTCTTTTCCTGTTCTATTGCTGTCTGTTGTCGTATCACCTTCCTGTATCCTCAAAAAGGAGTGAACATGCTTCTCCTTGGAGGCACACAGCAAAAAGTGAGAGAGAATAACAACTCTCATTTTCATGCTGATGGCCTCCACATTCACAGTTCTTACAATTCATTTACAAAGCACTGTTTCTTCATGCAACGTTTACATGTGCCATCAACTCCATAAAAACAATTGAGCTGACAGAATGTCAAATGAAATTTCATGGTAATTCACGCAGCCTGATTATGGAGTTTCGTAGCTTTCAGTGTAACAGTTTGGATGAAGATGAGGCCTTTGGGCCAGCTTTCATGGACATGATGGTGTCCAGTCTGGGGAATAAAGGATGGCACACTGCCATGGCAGAGATGTTCCAGTCTTCTTGTCCCATGCTCATTAGTTGCATTTGTTAATATACAAATTCATGCAATTAACTAATTTTTGCCCAATCACACCAGTGTTATATTAGTATTATTTATTAATATTTAATTAGCTTTTATTTTTTATATGTTCAGTTGTTTATTTTAATTGTTGTTTAAGTTTTAGTAATTATATACTTCAATTTTTTTTAACCCATGATTTCTAATTTTCACGTTTTTTTATTCACTTGCCCTCAGGCCATCCAAGATGTAGATGAGTTTGGTTCTTCATCAGAACAGATTTGGAGAAATTTTGCATGATATCACTTGCTCACCAATGGATCCTCTGCAGTGAAAGAGTGCCGTCAGCGCTGATTAAAAACATCACAATAGTCCACAAGTAATCCACACCACTCCAGTCCATCAGTTAAAGTCTTGTGAAGCGAAAAGCTGCATGTTTGTAAGAAACAAATCCGTCATTAAGGTGTTTTAACTTTAAACTAGTTTAAATATGAGTCCATGAGTCTCTGTTGTCCTCTCACATCAAAATCCACTGATATATTTGTTTAGAACTGTTTTGGACTTTTTCCGCTTGTAAACAGTAGGCTAATTGTATCTTTGCATATTTCTGTCCTAATTCAGCCATAATGACTTTTTCACTGGATAAAGCAATATTATGGACAGAGGACTCATATTTTAGCCAGAACCAATTTTTTTGAAGTTAAAAACAAATTAATGATGGATTTGTACAATGGATTCAGTACAAACATGCAGGTTTTTGCTTCACAAAATGTTAAAGGGATAGTTCACCCAAAAATGAAAATTCTGTCATTAATTACTCACCCTCATGTCGTTCCAAACCCGTAAGACCTTCGTTCATCTTCAGAACACAAAATAAGATATTTTTGATGAAAGGTGAGAGCTCTCTGACCCTGCATAGACAGCAACGCAACTGTAATGTTCCCAGGTCCAGAACCGTAGTAAGGACATCGGTAAAACAGTCCATGTGACATCAGTGGCTCAACTACAATTTTGTGAAGCTACGAGAATACTTTTTGTGTGCAAAGAAAATAAAAATAACATAATTTATTCAACAATTCTTCTCCACCGAGTTACCGTCTTCTGCCATTTTGGAGAGTATCCAAGAACGTATTCGATCAGCGTTGTTTACGTTCGGAGGAGAAAGCGCGCGCATGAACGTATTTTCATTTTGGGGTGAACTAACCCTTTAATTGAACTAAGCCTTTCATTTAACTGGAACACCCAGTTAAAACACTCAGAATACCTTAGCAACTGCATTGCAATTCCTGGCACACACCAAACTACATTGTGGCAGTAAGTGCATGCACAACCCATATTTTCTTCAGAAAATGCAAAATAAGCAAGTTGAGAGCCACAATTTTGTCAAGGGATTTAAAAAAAAAAGTTGTGCTAATGTATTCTTGTCACAACTTCAAGAAAATTAATAAACTAAAACTTATTTGCCTACATTAGACAACCTCAAATGTCTGACTTGCTAATTAGCACCTGTGCCCTATCCCTTCACCCGAAGAATCTCCAGATGCTTCACTTTGGCAATGATCCATCATGATTCATCCTGACTTATCAGTGCTGTTGACCTCTGTGCCTCAGCTAAATCATTTGACATGGGTATTAGGCCGAAATGACATGTATCCAATCCTGTGACAGGAGGCCTGTGGATGTGGTGACCAGTGAGTGGCTAGAACCGTGTGCTCAAAAGCCAGCGAAGTGGAAACCTCCACACACTATACTCTTGGGAACTGCGAATCTGCTTTCAGAATCCCTGCATCGGATGGAAATAGACCGGCATTTCAAATGTACACTGACTAACTTACTTACTGGTATTTTTTAGCTGGGTGGCATGTGCTTTAGAGGGATAGAAATGGCCGTTTGGGATGCTATGACCAGTCACTGACCCCTGTTCACACACACAGTGTCTGGGAGTCTTTGAAAATATGTTGTCCATTAGGAACAGCTGTACTTATCAGTTAGTCCTCTGTTTGTCAATGTCACCGCACAGTGAGAAGTTCCTTGTGTTCATCAGTCAGGACGAGTGTACACCATTAACTGTCCCGTTCTCCTCTGGCCTCATCGATATCTCCTGCTGTAACAGAAACCTCTCACTGAGAGCTTGTTCTTTTCTGAGTGGACGTACGTGCCCAGGTCAGTCAGGAGTGTATATGTTGATATTGATGCCCCAAAAAAGTAAAATCCAAAACCAACAAACATTTTCAGCAAACATGTTCATATTTATAACTGGAGATATGGCATTTGTTTACCCATACAAAAATGCTGGGTTGGGTACCATGATAGTATCCGACGGTAATACTATGATACCTTGATATACAGTATACTGTGGCAGGGCTGTACAGTGCGACATATATGTCGCACGTGCTACGAAAAAACTGGTCTGTGGTACAGAGTGATTACCATATTTTTATGCTATGTTTTTACATGGTACTTAAAGAATGCCGCTGCATTACCATGGAAAACAACCGGAATTTGTGGTATTATCTTGGTACATATACAAAAACTACAGTATTACCATAGTACCAAGTCCATAATATTAACCTGGTATGTGTCCAAAAACATGGCAATACATTAACTGCTACCTATTTTTGTCATATTTTTCTCAAACGAGCAGCATTAGTTAGTTGGTTTGACAATGATGCTGTGTTTTACATTGTTCTCAAAGGTACTGTAAAGAATATAGTACCATTATATTATTGTAAATGCCCAAAATTTGTGGTATTAGCTTGGAACATATAAATATATGGCATTATCTTGATACATATCCAAAAATGACAGTATTAACATGGTAAATGTTCAAAAAGCATGGTATTATCTTGATTCTTACACAAAAACCATGGTATTACCATAGTACATGTCCAAAAATGTGGTATTGCCTTGGTACATATCCAAAAACATGGCATTAAATATGCAACAAAAAAAAAAAAAACGGAGAGAGAGTATTATTTTGGTACATATCCAAAAAATATGTATGTGTCATATATATTTTAAAATATATATTCTAATAAATATATACATTTATGGAAGCAAAGCAAAGTATTACCATATTTTTGGACCCGTACCAAGGCAATATAATGTATTTTTGACTTGGTTTCTTGGTTATATTGCTTTTTTTCTTTTCTTTTCTTTTATTGTACATGTGCTATTGACCATAGTTTTTGAATATGAATCAAGGTAATGCCATGTTTTTTTGGGGATATTTACCATGTTAATACTGTGTTTTTTGGTTATGTATCAAGACAACGCCATGTTTTTAATGTATATATCAGAACTGTTACCCAGTCTTGATGCCTTTGGAGGGAGAAATATCAGAACAACACCAGGTGATGCTGAATTTATGTATGTGTCAGATGTTTGTGGCACTGCTACAATGAGGTGATGGAGTCAAACACTTCCACTGGCTCAGATGGACAGAGCAGTGTTTAAGCCAGGCAGGCAGCAGATGGAGGGTTTACACACGTTGAAAAATGAATTTTCTGACCAGGAAAAAAGAACACTCTGAGCTCCGTCTCCAGGGACAGGTCCAAAATATCCATGTGGTACAGAGTAAATGGGCTGTTGATGTTCCTTAAATGCTCAACACTGGGCACTCAACATGGATTAGGAGCTTTGGTGCACACACATGAACTAGAGCAATGAAATTGATAGATTATATTGGATTTGAGGGTATAATAATCCATAAGTGATGGTTTGTAATTCTACAGTGCCAAGAAAAACAACCCTCTATTTCACCACATAGATTAATGACACAACAAGGACATTTTATTTATTTATTTATTAAGTTCCTGGCTTATGGCCACTGTTGTGTAATTAGCTGTCTCAATTATTCTTCAAGGCACGAGAGGCAGACATGAATGGTATAAAAATTCAGGAGACAAGACTTACTCAAGCCAGAAGAAATAGTCATTGTTCTATTTTTGGAACATATTTTTTAAGTTGCTGATCTAAGGAAGAAAAG